TGTTCTGCTTGGATGGTTCATCAAATCAGTTGTTTACATGGTAACTGAGCAGATTCGTGAAGTTGATTTCTTGTTACCTTTACTCATAGGAAATTGTTTTATTTTGGCATGACAGTTTGTTTCCGAATAAAGTTGGATGAATGATTTATTGAGAGTTGCATTAAAAATGATAACTAAATATTAACAATATATTTAATGAAAAGAAAGTATATTTGTGTTAAGATGGTAAACTTGAGTCAAGATATAAAACTAAAAACTATAAAACATGGTCCCACAAATTTAAAACAGTTTTAAAATGTAAATTAAAAATTACAATTTCAATATAGAATTACCAGTCACAATAATGAATATTTGGTAATGTCAGTCAGATGTCATTGATCATAAAGAACATGAAGACAAGGAATTAAATAATGAGGCTCATATACAAGTTGATTAAATGCATTCTGGGTGGCCATCGCCTGAATCGATTTTTATTGGTTTTCTCTACAACCAATCATAAAGGGCTCTGGGACTGTTTAGCATAAGGCACAGTATCAATATAACATATTATTATTCTTATAGCCCCTAAGTAATCTGCATACTAACAGAGGAGTTACAATAATATCCTCAATATATTCATGCTAGAGGTGTACTAAATATACCACTGATAATAATTATGAAATTGGCATATAATTTGATATATTTTACCAAGATTATTAAAAATTATTTATTCAATATTACATGTTTCTGTTGGTTTGTATTAAGATATTATCTTATATTTTGATCTTATTGCCAGATTGCCTTAATTTGAATAAATTTAATATTGATTTGATAAATATAAGAAATTTTGAGTACATGATGGAAACAAATAGATCACTATTATTTCTTTAATCTTAATTACTCGACTATTTCCTTCAATTGTGAAATAACACTACATTACAAGTTGTGGTATTTGGATTTAATCAATTTATTATGAGCAACACTGTGTAAGTGTGCTTATGAAACCAATTCATGCGATGGCGGCTCACAATGCAAGTATCGTAATCAATAGTTGCTTGCACAAGGCTCACTATCAATCATCCTGGTATATGGTACATTGTCTCTTGAACATTGTCAATTAAAAACTGTCATTTAAAAAAAAACCATGATTTTCATCCATTCAGATCTGTATTGAACAGTAGTAAAAAAAGGAAACTTTAAATGTAAAATTGTGTGAATTGTACTTGAATGAAGATAATGCAGTATTATTCATCACATGATTATATAACTAATTGCATTTATAGTGATCCAATGCTACTATGTTGAATACCTCTCCCTTTTTATGCCACTGCTTTACCACCCTAAATATTTGCTGCTGCTTCATCAACAATCCCATTTTTTGCTTTTCCATTTAAATTTTTTAAGCTGGTATCTAAGCATGGCCACCGAGAATATTCAGTGTGTGGTTCAAACTCTCAACCACTAGGAAGAAAACCACTGCGCCAAACTTCATTGTTTCAATAGTTGCGTGTTCAGTTGCATAATAACTTAATTATTTTAATATGCGGTATTTTTAGTATATCATCACCATATTTTTACTTCACTTTTCTTTCCAAAATAAAGACACAGGCTTGTTTTGTAATGCAAGGTATGGAATGATACATGTTGAAATGGATTCAGAATCAGATGGAACATCGGTTGGTAAGTTAAATCAATATAGTTGAGAAAAAAAAGGAAATTAAATGTAATTTTATTTTGAGTAGTTTCTAAAATATCAATTGAATGCCTTTTGAAGACAAACAATAGATTATGTGAATTGTGATATGTGGATTGATTATTGTTTATTTATCCTGTCTGTAAAGTGATAAACACAGCAATGATTTCACTAGTGTGTCACATAAAAACAAAAAAAAAATTATCAGAGGGAATATTATTATTAACAATAATTAAAAGGAAAAAATGTATGTTTGTAAATATAAATAAAAGTATCAAATAATTTGGGTGGAGACAAGAGAAAATTGAGCTAAGAGAATATTGAGCTAAGAAAAGTAGACGAATAAAAAATATTTTAATGTAGGTGAACTTTTTAACATTTTTTTAAGCTTACTAGCATTACAGTTTGTAATGTAATGGACAAAAAAAAAAACTTCCATTAATTGTATACTCTAATTACAGTTTGCAGTACTTGTTAATTTTTTTACGAATTTCATAGCCAATTGATTTTACCACTCTGCACAGTTTCCATCAGTTGATTGATGTCATGACGTACCTTCATTGTTACCACGGAAACTACCTTGCTACATATCTACGCTTAGTGGCCCACTGCTCAGAGTATGTGCAGACATAACAATGCCATCATTGATCATCACCCGGGGATGTTAGGAGATAAATTAATGCTTTTCATTCCCAGATAATTTTACCACAGGAAGAAAAAATTACACCTGTGACTGTCTCAGCAAGGAGAATTTTTTAAATCAACAATATTTCACAATGTTTGCTAATATAACCTAAAATATTACCTTTCATTTCATATTATCACAATTAACACAACATCTCTATCTCTATCTGGACCATTCCACTATACCATTATCTTCTCAAATGTTTTTTTTTCCTCTGAAAATAGGTCCTGAAAATTTACTGATTCACTGGGCTTTTGTAAGGATAATCTTTAAATACTGTATGATCTAATTTTAAAAATTAATAAATTAATATTTTCTCAATCCTCAGATCAGATTTTGCAACCAGTTATTAAGACTAGAGTAGCAGTCCTTGCAGGTGCTTCTCATGATGCATCAGACACAGTATCATCTGGTTTTGGCGATGATCTTAACCATGATGATAGTCACCAGCTAGCATCTGTAGATTGTGCACCCAACGAGACGTCATCATCAAGTAAGGTAGGGTCGTATGAAAGCAGCCATGATGAATCTAGGAAAGAAAAGTCAGATGAGGAACCTAGGAAAGAAAAGTCAGTTGAGGAACCTAGGAAAGATAAGTCAGATGAAGAGATACAGGATAGCAGTTCAGAGTTAGCTAGAGATTACAATAAGAATTCAGCTAGAGACAGAGGTAGGACTACAAATGAGGTTAGGAGTCGGGAAGATGACAACTCTTTGATGAGAGATAATATTAAAAATTCTGTGCAGATGGATCCCCATATATCAATAGAGACAAATGATAAGGAAAGCATGTCAAGTTGTAGTGCCAAAAACACCTCCAGTACCACATCATCGTCTGGCAATTCTTCACGCTCTGGTCGAAAAAAGTCCCCAAAAAAGAAGAAAAAGAAGAGAAGCTGTCTGGCTCTGAATTGTAAAAGTTCTGCAGAAAGCTCTTGTAGTCCTGAACCAGCATCCTTAGATGAGACAGACGGTGGTTCATTACAAAATAGCAACAGAGATAATCAAAAGAACATTCAAGATAATACAGCTGCTGAAGATGGAAACAACAAAGATCATCTAGTAACTTCTGAGAGCAAACATGATAAAACATCTGTGACCGCAACTGTTAATATCACCAATGAGCTCATAGTTAAGCCAATTCATTCTGATATTGATAATTATTCGACACCGTCTGTGTTGATGAGAAAGACTGAAGCAAGAGAAAACACAATTGAAATGTCAGGTGTAGGTTCCTTTGATAGTTTCACATCACCATCTGTGCATGTGACCGTAACTCAACCAGATCAGCCAGAAACTATGTTGGATCATTGCACACCATCGAAACTGATGCAGAAGAAGAAAGATAGAGAAGTTGGAGAACTCATCTCTGGTGTTGGCTCTTTCTCAAGCTATACTACTCCCTCCAAATTAATGGCTAAACTATTTCTTGAAACCTCAGCAGAAAACTTGACTGGTTCCACACCATCAGTACTAATGAAAAAGAGAGCTGATCGAGAGGCAAATGAGAAGTTGACAGGAGTTGGATCTTTTCAAAGTTTCACCTCACCTTCAGTAATGGTTGCAAATAATTCAGATGCAAGTTCCATGAAAGAAGATATGTCTGTATGTTCACAAGAAAGAATTGCAGATGTTGGTGCCAGAGATACCTCCATGAAATCAGTATTCAGTGCTTCTCTAACAAAATTCATGGTTTCATCAAACGGTGCTGATGTCCCACCATCAGGCCTTACTGAAAAACAGATTACTGCTTTGAGTGAATCATGTCCTAAATCATCAACTGACAGCTCAGATGAAGATGAGTGGGTGATTCTGGAAGAATTGGACAAGCCTCTTACAAAAACTCCTGCTACAGAACAGGTCCAAGATACAGAGAGCAGTAAAAACAATGCTGAGGTGAATTATGAAAAAGAACAACCAGGAGTATCTTTTAGTGTTCCGGAAGCCAGTCAAGTCAGGCATCTTGAAGAGAGTATGAGTGCCCCTGAGACTTGCAGAATCAGAGACTTGGAGAACAGGGTTATTAGCATTGAAACTGTTCAGGTATAATTATTAGGATAAATCTAATATTTAATATCAGAATAGTAATTTTATTTTAAATGATCCTCTGATGTTTAGTGAGGTTGTAATTATAGGATAGAACTTTTAGGATTTTTACAGTACATTTCAACATATATATGAACCATACATTAGGAAATATAATTATTTTTATTCATTATGTTATCAATAAAGATTATTTGAGTACATTTTATGAAGAGAACTTTTCAGACAGTATAAAGCTGCATTTGCATTGGAATCTAATATTTAATATTAGACCGCTTTTTCTGATGTGTCCTTATTCTCACATTACTGATTCGATATTCGGTAGGCTTTCCGATCCAAAAATTTGAACTGGATGTAGATGTAGTGTAAAAGAAATTATTTTAATATTCTTTAATAAAAAAAGAAGCTTTTTGTTCATTGTTCATTCCTATTGATTGAAATATTGATTACCCGCAGTAAAAATATAATTGGATTCATGAAAGAAGCAAAGAAGGCCATAGAATATTAAATTGTATTTTTAAAATAACATCATTATTGTTGGAAACCAATCAACTGTTTACACACAATATTGGTGCATATATTATATGCAACCACCACCAAAGTCAAGTTATACGCTTTCAACCGTTGTTATGATTGCAGAATGAGTCCCTGCTAAACGAACTTCAGGATAGCCTGAGGAGTCTTCATGCAAAGTATACTGCACTGCACAAAAACTACAACCAACTCAAAGGTATAGTAAACCTATTTCATTTTAGACATTCTGTAAGGAAATGAAATGTTTGCATTGCAGTCCCACAGGTACAGTCAGGTTTGGTTGTGAATATAAATGCTACATCACTGCCAATCACTGTATGGATTATTTGGAATGTTTACAATGCGAATTTACCCAAATTTATGATGTGAACGTGTAAGACATTTGCCTTTTTTCTTTTGTTATACTTTTTATTGTAGGCTTTAAAAAAGCAAAACATAGTAATAGCCAATTTTTATTGTTAATTACATTATTAATATTACTACTATCTCAATATTATGATATTAATAATAATACTATATTATACAATATATTATTATATTTGTTTGATATGAAGGCAGATAAACAACAATTCAAAAATGAACTTAATTACAATGAACTTAATTACAATACATTTATTGATAATAAAATATATGAAACAAAACTAAAACAATATATGACACAAAATGTATTGTATTAAAAAAACCTTGATGAATAATTTCTCAATTATGTTCAGTTGAAGCTGAAAATTCAAAGAGTAAATCTAGTCTGACAAGCAGAGAGAATGAAGTCCTCCTGCAACAGCGAGAGGATGAATGCCGTAAGCTACGAGACCAGTTAGATTCTGTCTCACGTAAGGCTAAGCAGAAGAAAGACAAAATGGCGGATGACTTTAACAGGAGGCTACATGAACTGAGGAATGAGATGCATGCTGTTCTGAATGAGGTATCCCATAGTAGTTTATTTAAAATCCTGTTACATTGAGAGTCTTCATTATATTTATAGAGTGCCTGAATCCACTACAAGCAATGTGATATTGACTCAGACTTACTATAATTAATTGGCCGGATAATATTACTGTATCATTACCTTTATGATACCATTACCATTATCACTGTCATTATTGTCATCATCTTATTCATTATTGTTACTGTTTATTATTATTACAGTATTATTATTGTCATCATAATCATTGTTATCATTATCTTAATCATTATTAATTATTATTATTAATTTATTATTATTTTTATTATTATTATTATTATTGTTACCATTATTGTTACTGTATATTATTATTACAGTATCAATAAAGTTGAACTTGCCTAAATTGAACCCAAAATGGCATTGAAAAATTCTTCGACTTAAGATAAAATTTGACTTATAGATTGTTGATTAATGAAAAACACAACAATTTGGCATGTAAAATAAGATCGACTTGGATGATTTGAGTTAGGCAAAGTCAACATAGGCAGTTTAACTGTGTTATCATTATCATTGTCATTATTATCATCATCACTATAATTGTCATCAGTATAAGCACTTTGAGCTAATTTTTTTTTGTAAAAGGAGCTATAGAAATACAATTACCATTACCTTGTGGTTTTCTTTTATAGTATACATGCTGTTCTGACTGCTTTGTTTAAAAAACATGATGTTAATTAATATGTTCAAGTACTTGTAATCCTTAAAATGTTCACAAAACAATTTTGTTATTCATTGTTTTATTGGTAAAAGGGTTTTGGTATTATTATTTACAGTTATATAACCTTTATTTAGTATCAGTAAATGACAATTAATTCTTGGTGTTTTTTTTAATCATTATTTTAACCAGAAAGAAGCTGTTGCAAACCAATTAGAGAAAGCTAGGCAGGACTTGATCGAGATGCAGAAGAGCAATCTGTCAAGCCTGTCTCAGCATGATCTTGTAGATGAGTCATCTGCAATTAAGGTAAACAATTAAAGAAAAAACGGTCAATATTCCAATAAGTTTTAGTGCAGTGCGTATTTGACAGTGTCGCTAATCACAAATTATTGTGTGAAAATGTACTATTTTGCAGTGGTAGTATAACTTAATCTGTAATGAACAGACACAAACTTTCAGTGGGTTATCAAAAGACGTGCGTGCGGCAATGCAATCACTGTGATCAGCTAAACAAGGCCTAGCTTGGTTAGAATGATGCGAAACATCAAAGGATGTCCTGTTGATACTCTGAAGCACTGTGACAATTCCTCACCGTTGTCGAAAAAAAAAAACAAACTAGGCTTATCCTGCTTAAATCATGATGTTTACTAATAATTCCACACTTGCTGCATGTATATAGATTTATACCAAGATTTGCTGCAAGAAAGGTACCGCTATGCCTAGGTAAGTTAGGGAAATCTAATCTTTACATCTAGCCCTAACCAAGCTAGGCCTTGTTTAACTGATCACAGTGATGCAACGCTACACGCATGTCTTTTGATAACCAACAGAAAGTTTGTGTCTGTTCATGAAACAAAAAATCCATTTTTCTTGGTTTGTGTGTTATGGCTAATTAGTCTAATTAACTAAATATTATAGTTTCACTCTTAAAAACTAACTGAAATGTAGAGTTTGATGTACATAACCCAAATGTCAAAGAAAAAAAAATTTGAAAAATTGTGAATTTTTAGGTTTTTGTCTCTTTGTGATGTCAGTGACAAATTGTTCAAAATCGAACAGTGCTTATTCAAGAGCAGCACACTGCATAAAACAGTCGCCTAACAGAACATTTACACTTACACATAATAATAATAGATATCTAATTTCAAGTTTGTGTAAACTAATACATTCATTATTTGCAGTCTATAAAATCAATGTTTGCAGGTGTGTGTCATTTAAGTAAATAAAGTTGTGTTGCATACATAAAGAGTTCAGAATGTTTACATTATTGTTGATGAATTCATGTTTGAAATGAATTACAATAGGAGTTTGACAGATCCAACTATTCTAAGTAAATAACATAATAAATTTAGGAAATTGCTGATATTAAATTATTTTCTTACAGTATATAGGGTATGTGCTGTTCTTTGGTTATTTCACTTTTACAAGCAAAATATGTACTGTATTGTTATCTTGATAAACAGAATCAATATGTAAGATATATTATTATGCTTTATATTGATGGAAAGGATCAATTAGAAAAGACTAAGAAAGCCCTGGTAGAGATGTCAGTAAAACTGCGAGAAGTTTGCGAGCAAGCTGATGCTGAGAAGAGGGAGCATAATTGCCGTTTGAAACAACTAGCTGACCAATCAACACCTTCATCACTTTTACCAGGGGTAAGCTGAATTCCATCTTGGGAGGTGGTAGGAAAGTGGTACATATTCATAAATTTACATTATAATTGTCAGAGGTGTAATTTTGCCCTACCTGACATTGAAATGTACTGAATACTCTGTACATTTGAAAACAATTGCGAAAAAAATCGTAAGTTCTCGGTTGGGACTCGAACCCACGATCTCCAGATCACTAGCCTGGCATCATACCTCTAGACCACCGAGCTTGTGCCTGATGGCCAGGGTTGAATTCGAGTCCAAACAAGCAGCGGGTACTGCAGTGTTAATAGTAATTGTTATTGTCGTGATGGAATAGACAATAACTGGATTTACATCAGGAGAAACATGTATAGGTGTAATTTTGCCCTACCTACATTTACCTATATTTGTCATTATTTAAAATTCATGTAGAAGTGAAAACAATTTTTTATTTCAGGAGTTATTTGCAGAGAAATACATACTGTATTGTTTTCATTTCAGTTTTTTTCTCCATTAACTATCTCTTTTGTGTTTTCACTTATTTATTCCAAAACTACTAATAATTAAATTTAACTTTTTTACCTGTTTTACCATGCAAACCCACACCATTAGCAGGTGAGCAATGGGTCACTTGGGGAGCAGGTAGAATTCTTAGAACGGAAGTTGAAAGAAACATGGGATGACCATGCCTTGCAGTTGACAACTGTTGAACAGAAACTACTGCGAGACAACTCAAAGTTTAGGGTGAGGCTATTGGTGTCGTCACTGTACTGTACATACACAAAAGATGAAGGTTGTCTTTCCATGTGGTGCTAAAAATGAAATATCAAATTAATTTTATTTTATAAAATTAATCAAAAAGTGTTTTTTTTTTAAATTTCTGATTTAAAAATCCATGGTTATCGACAGTTCAAGAGTGAGTCATTGTTAAAAAATATAGATTAAAAATATTATGTACTGTATAAATTTATTTTTTTGATATACAATTATACATATAAAATCATCTACTCAGGAAGAAACTGATTTAAAAGAAAATTATGAATATCTACATAATATCATGGTCGCATCAGCCAGTCAGTGGATCAGGTTTAATTGAAAATTATATCACCAAAGTTAAAAGAAATTTGACAAAAAATGTTTAAAATCTTAAACATTTTTAGAAGATGTCTTCTGTTTAATGAGTATGTTATGGTAAATTTGCTGTGCTGTATTCAAAAAGATATCGAACAAATTCAATTTTTTATTTTAATAAGTTATTAAAATATTTTAAACTACTTCCTTGTGTAGGCAAAACATAGTGAATTCCAACTGAAATATGAAAAGCAGAAAGAGAAAACAAAAACAGGTTATGACAAGATAAAACATCTGAGGCAATTAGTGAGCAGCCTTCAGGCCTTCAAGCAAGGTGGACATAGCAATCACATGACCAAAACTAATGGAATAGTACAGCAAAGATTTGATAGTGTGAGAGCCAGTGATTGGTTGAAAATCTGGACCAACCCAATAAAGGTTGGCAGTACATCTGCTGTTACATCCTCTGTTGTGTTTGGTAGCAAGTCTGGTTCAGTGGGGTTTTTTTTCATGCTTAGGCCTACTGTGATCTGTGTTGCTTGCATGAAAATGTCTTCTTGTTTATTTCCAAAGATTTCATATGTTTTACTGGTATCTAGCTTTGTCTATATTACATGATTTCTGATGCATTTTTTTTTATAAACTACGTAGTTTGAACTGTATGGTTCAAAGCTCATGCCTCATTTTGTTTGTCCATAAAAATTGGACAATTGGTTAATATTTGTAATTAATGTAACATGTTTCTCTATTGTTAGACTTTACCTGGCTGTTTAAAATTAATGTTTTTTTGTGTTAATATGTGGTTATATCCATGTTTTCATCCTATTGTGTTATTATATTTTGAAATAAATAATGGCTTTTGCCAAATTTCTATGCAATGTTAACCCTCCATTTTACCTTGGAATTGACATTGAAATGAATTAATAGGATAATGCACAGCCCTTGGGTCTTAAAAATACATTTGCAGACAGTTGTAGTTCAGGTTTAGGCTTGATTGAGGGTAGTAATGTGAAGTGCATATAAGCACAACTTATTTTCATAATTATTTTATACTTCCAGAATATAATAACTTGGCTGGTGGATGTTAAAGCATAGTAGTCAGGATGTCTCGGATTTGAATCCCAATAATTATACAAAGTGTGTAGGTGTTGGCATTACTTCAAACAAAATTAAATTTAATCCCAGATTATGTTTTGTTTAAATCTAGCGAGAGAGACAACTGCAGCAAATATTCCACGAGGTGCAGGCTACAGATGGTGGACCGGATGGTGGGGTCAAGGACCATGTATTTTTCCAAAAGGTTATCCTTTTCATTTGGAATCAAAGAAATGAGAGCAGACAAAAACTGATGGGGTTCCAACAGAAAATGGAACAGCTAGATGGAGAAAAACAGGTACTAATGCTAGAAATCAACCAAAATCATCAACCAAAAATCGATCATTGAATGCATAATAAATCCATGAGTAGTAATCTATATTCAAAAAGTCATTCTTGATGGTAAAATGTGTTTCAAAAGCCAAAAAATACCATTTAAAAAAAATATTATTGTCTTTAGGTAATACTACTGTATAGTGATCAGAAAAATGTTGTTTAACCAAATATTATAATGAGGAAATGCATATTTTCCTAGGAAATGTCAATTTTCAGATGGAATAAAATAAAAATTATTATATTTAAAATAAAGGTTTCAGATAGGCTGGAGTTGGAAGCTTTGCAAGAACAACTGAGTAGTGCCATCACTGAAAACTCTACAATGGAAACCTCTTATAACCAGTAAGTAAATACAAAGTAAATATTAAGAAAATAAAACTATAAATATGTATCATTGTAAATTTGTGGGAATTTTGTTCCCGTTGGTTCACTAAAATGTGGAATATAAATATTTTGATTGTTATAATGTATGTATTTCTAGTTTTTCATATTTCTTTAAATTTTTTTATTATAGTATTCACCTTTTGCGGAAATATTACAAATGATGGAATATGTCATCAACATCGATATGTCGATTAATATTCCATCAGTTAAGTTATGATTGATGGATGAGTTCCAATACCTGATAAGCAATATAGGTCAGCAATGTAGGCCAAGAGTCCACATCTTTTTATTGTTCTTATTTTCACTTTGCAGAACTATTGATCAGCTTGTCAGTGAGAACAAAGAACTGCAAGTGAAAATAAAACACCTGGAGAAGACCATCTCAGCACTTCATCACGACAATAACTTGTGGAGGTTGGAGATGGACAAAATAAGGTCTAAGGATCAATCACTTGTCATCGACAAGAAAACAGGTGACACAGAAATTTACTTAAAAACATAACTTTCTAGGAATTGATGAAACAGTAATAAATATATATCTTAATGGTTGCATGTACAGTACACATTAGTGAGCGTGAGTTTGCAAGAGAGAAGTTGAATGGATGCCTGAGAGCATACAGATGTAAGTTGTAATCATGCATCACAACCAATCAAAATGAGTAGCTTATGATGTTTAATTTTTATCTTTTTTTATGTTTCATATAAAGTAATTTTGCAATAAATCTTGTTTTGCCAGGTCAACTTCTAAATTAATACAAGAGACTCATTGTTACATCAATGTTTCATTTAAGCTGTATATTTCATTGCCACTCAAATTGGTTTTAAACAACTATTTTTTGGGATTAAAAGATTTGTCTGATTCAAGAGTCATGACCCTAAAAGCTGAGGTAGAGTGTGTCCGTCAACACTGCAGTCTGTTAAAAGCTGAGGTTAGCAGCACCAAGAAACGTAATGAAAATCTTACTGCGAGGTTGACCCAGATGGAGGAAGAGGGACAGCAGTATTTGGAACAGCTTAAAGGCAAGCAACAGCAAACAGATCGTCTTGAAATTACAATTAAAACCCTGGAAAAGCAGGTAGATAATTTGAAATATGTTTTTCTGATTTTAAACTTATTATTGTTAAAACGTATTATTGTGAGACTAAATTACATAAAAATTAACAAGTGGTTTGATTTCTATGGTAGATGGATAGGGCAAATGATGAACTTGAAAAAGGTCGCACTTCTTTAACTAGTCTTGTTGCTAAGAAGCAAGTAGCTGACACAAGAATTAAAGAATTGGAGAAAAAACTGAAGGAGGTCATACAGGATAACGAACAGCTATTGCTAGACAATTCACAGCTTCCAATTATTGAAGAGGTCATCACAAAAACTGAGGTCAGAAATCTTGAGGTAAGATTATAATTACTTATATTTCATCATCATCACTACCATCATAATCATCATCACAATTATCATTAATATTATCGTCATCCTCACCACCATCACCACTACAACATATCGTCATCATCATATCTTCTTTATCATCGTCATTTTGGCATTATCATCCACTTCTACATCATCACCATATGAGGCTTGCCTTCCAAAACCTGTGTAATGTCGATAATTGTTAAACTGAGTAAGTAGCATAAGAATGTGGCAGTGTTGTATACGTTAGTACAGAAAACCCGTAATAATTTTTACTCATAGCTTTGGCAATAGTAAGTCGATTCCATCATCACCCATCATTTTAAATTTTACAATGTGGAGAATAAGAATATATTAAAAAGTCAAATTTCCTTTTTGGTCACTGATGTTGGTTTTCGGATGGCAAGCCTTTGTATATTCTAAGATATCACATAATCATTGTCATTACCTAAACTTTCTACCAATTTAATATCTCATTCGACACTATTATTTGTTTTTGTGTCCTAGCAACAAAATACTAATGATAGAGTTGAGCACTTACAGAATGATATATTTGAACGTGAAAGAGAGATTACAATGTTGGAAATTGAGTTGAAGTCAGCAAGAGAGCAAGTAGATGTACTCCAGAAACAGATCAAGAACCAACCAAAAAAGGTTAGTCACAATGATATCTTTAACATAGTAAGTTAAATCATCTGATTACATCATCAACATTGTCATTATCATCAATATCACTATCACTCACTATCCGATCATCAATATTATATTACCACCAGCAGCATTATATTAAGCATCAGTATCATTAGCATCATTACCACCATTAACATTGTTGACAGGACTTCACATATGTGTGAATGGGAAAATGAATTAAAATGAAAGGTAATAATTCACACAACACTACTTTGTAAGTCTTCTGATGAGGGTGATCATCAATACCATCTTAACCATCATCATTGGATGACTCCCTAAGTTGGTATTTGAAACATACTGGCTAACTTATTTGTAAATACTAAACTCTCTACCCCTTAAAGGTAGTACCAGAATGGATGAATCATGAAGCCTGGCATGATATGATTTCTGAGAAACAGAAACTTAAAAATGAGCTAATAGAAATCAAGGAGAAGATGCTGTGGGATAACAAAGAACTGACAGAACTACGGCAGGAGCATGGGGAGGTTCAGAGCAAGCTGGGATTGGCGGTTCAAAAATCCGAGATGGAAGGTCTGAAGAAGAAACTTCAGCTGGAAGAAGAGAAGATGATGCTTCGAATGGATGTGGATGGGAAGTTGAGGTCGGCATCTATCAAAGAGAAGGAATTGAAACAGGAACTTGATGAGCAGAAGAAGATGGTAATCGAGTGCCAGATGAAGATTAATAGAATCCAGAATGAACTCAGGTATTTATTAAAATATATAAATAAAATTAATTAAATATAGTGGTGATGACATTTGAAAACAATAATTTGATGATAATTTCAATTCCATTTAAATATAAATCCAATTTCGTTGGTTATATTTGTTTTCTCAAACTAATGTTTTAAAACCTATGGAAATGATTTACCTACTGAACATTGTTTCATGATATTTGTTACATTATTATATAAATTGCCATTTAGATTAAAAGAGAATGAAGCAAACAGTCTTAACCAAGAATTAGCAATTATGTTGAATGAAAATGTACTGATGAAGAGAACATTAGAAACAGTAACAACTGAAAATAGCAATAAGGTAAAAAAATACACAATTTACACAAGGAAAATGAGATTTAGATATCTGTTACTTTAGATTGCAGGTCATAGTAACCAAAACTTAAATATATAATAGAAGACAACAAAAAGATATAGTTAAAATCAAAGAATGTTCATTAAATACTAAATAACATATTGTGAAACCTTTTTTGGGGATGAAAAGAAATTCAGAAAATAAATGAGACGATAATTAACGGTTGCCATGATGACATTAAATTTAGGCTATTGGCCAACTTGTAAATGATGCATAGTATATCAATATTTGCCCAGGTAATTTATACTCCTAAACGAGTAAGAACTTCATACTGATATAACACTAGAACATGATCACTCTATAACATATTGCTTTATGCAACAGCTTATGGAGGTAGGGGCTTTAACAACACAACTGCAGGAAGAGAAAGGAAAGAATGAGAAAACTAGGCATGAATTAGAGCACATGTTGTGCCTAGTTAGCAAGGATAGTGGATTGCTAGGCCATGACAGACCCAATGAATTAGGCACTATTACAACCAAGGTAGGCTACCACCAAAAAGTAAGTCTCGGTAGTCAATTCATAACAAATTAAATTTTAATTCATAACTTTATAATACATGTGAGTTTAGGACCTATACTAAATGTTTAGGGTTGAGACATTTTCATTTCCTCACCTCTTTCCCTCTGCCATTCCTGATATAGCCAACAACAGATGGTACTACTATAGAAGAGTTGATGATAAAACTGACACAGGCTAGAATTGAAAGTGGTGAGATTAAACACAAACTGCAGACAGCCGAGAAAAAATTCCACCTTGAGGAGACCATGAATAGGTCTATGAGGGTGAGTATGAATCTTCAAATACAATTATTTATATGTTTTTACAATGTATTACAAAAAATTATTAAATTATCATCACCATCAATATCATCATTGCATCGTTATTACCACACCTTCATTATCACCACTAAAACCATTCGCCATTACCAACACTATACACCCATTGTCATTACCACCACTACAATCATTATCATCATTCAACATCATCACCATCATCATTCTCTACCACCATCATTATCATTCATTAGCACCAGCACTGACATCATTGCAATTATCATCATACAGTAACTATCACTGACACCACAATCAACCATTAATATCATCCTTGCCTACTACCAATAGTTATATCAATATTGCTGCACCTCTGTGGCCATATCAACAACTTATTAATTGTAATATACTACATAATTAGTTACAGTCAGTGGCGTGTATAGGGGTACCTCCCCCCACCCCCATCATCTTTCACCCTAGTAGTTAAAAATCCTCTCAAATCACATTATTTTGCAAGCTAGCTCCCCTCACCTAATGATTGAGCCCCGCACTTCACCTTTACATTCCCTCCAGCAGCCCTCTCATTTTAAGACTCCTACCTGTAGTTACTGTACGCCACTGCATACAGTAGCTATAGATTTACTACATAATGTGTGGTGGAGCTGTGGTCTGCTGGTTAGGATGCTTGCCTTCCATTCTCAGAATCAAATTACATGACACAACTAAAAACAACTCACAAAGTCTATAACTAACGAGTCAGTCACCGTTGGATGAGTACAAAATGCATTAAAAGTGCATTGCTATTAGAGTCAGTTTTCATTGATGTTCTTTAGGAGCAACATGAAAAGTCCAGCATGGAAAAGAACAGTATGGAGAGAACACTAGATTTATTGCAAGTAGAGAAGTTAAAATGGTTGGACACAGAATCGCAGCTGAACAAACAAATTGATAAACTATGCAAGGAACGAGAAAAATATATGCAAGGTACAAACAAACCAATTTGCAAACTTGTATTAATGTTTTTCTATTGTGTAATAATAATAGCAAAAGCAACAGCAGAAAATCAGAAAAATCATAATAGTGATAGTAATTTAGTAATTATAATCATCGTAATAATAATGTATTGTAGTTATTTCATATTGTTGAGTTAAAATTTTCTAAAGAGTTTAGTGTAACATGGAAAGGGTGTACTAATATAGATAGATGGTACACAAATGCTGTATTATATTTATTACTATTTGTATTATTGTTATGCTTTGCATGACCCCAACAAACTATTGATATTATCCATTAACTTTTCTTTCAAATCAGAGCTCCTCCAAGCAAAGAAAAATGCTGAAAAACAAAGAAATTTATTCCTTGAGGCTACAAAGAAGCAGAAGGAAACTGCCGAGAAGTACGAATACCAGTTGAATGACACTAGCAAGCAATGGAATGAAGAAAAGAAGGACTTGGAAGAGCAAAAGGATCAACTGAAGGAAGAGACACAATCAATGAAAGAAAATATAGCAGAGAAGGAAGGAAGACTAAAAGCATCAGAAGAAACAATTAAACAACTTAATGAAGATAGAAGGTATGATGAATCTACAATGTAGTTAAAACACCATTTTTTAAGGGTCCCAGTAATGAGGGTAAAATATTTGATTGGGAAGACAAAGATTTAAATCATTTTTCATCCTTAGAGCAAATTTTAGTAGCATGGACACAATGCTCTAATATACTACTGTTTTCTTTTGCATTGTTCTGTGCATTTAAATTTGCTATTTTTAATTGGAGCAAAGGATTGTGATTGACCTTTATGCCAAGTATTGAATAAAAAAAAAAATGAAAATAAAAATTATCACCAAATTGTCTATGTACAGTGGAATCAGAAAGTTATAGCCTAATATAAAATGTTAAATTTTATAAGGGATGGGTTTGCCACGTCAAAATAGGTCCAGACCAAAAAATGTTTAGCGGACCGATTTTGGCGGCCAAAATCTGTCCGCCGGACTACTAAAATCGTTCCTCCGGGTTGATTTTAGCCGCTAAAACCGGTCCCTCTAGGATGAAATTGGTCCAAGTCGGCCTAGCCAATTCACTTGTAACTCCTCTGCTGCTTGTAGGGTATGATTGTTTCTCCCTTGGAGTGGAGGAAAGTAAGCGGACATGCTTGGCTAGGTTTGGGCTTAAAATGAAATACAAGACTTATTTATTAGTTTTAAATATTCCAGATTATTCTGTGTGGTATTATTACATGAAATAAAGGGGTCAGAATTCTTTGAATTGAATGCATGTAGGTGTACTTCGTCACTGTGTTAAGCACACACAACCAAAACAAAAAAAAAGGTAATAAAATAAACTAAAGCGGACCAAAACGATTTAATACTACAACGTTTAACTTCTTTTCATACTTTTACACCAAAGGGTTTACTGGGCGCGAAGCTTTACTTAATTTCACCTATGATTTCACACATAACGAATGAAAACAGTATCATATAATGAGAGATAAGATATTTATCTATCATTTGATTTTAAAAAAAAATTATAAACGACGTTATGAAAATACAAGTTATAAATACTAAATAGACGCCGGACTGATTTTGGCTTATATGGACTACATTTGGCAGGTAATTTTTCCTGACAGGCCAATTAACACTGCTACAGTGATTCAGTATACTTTGATGGTATCCTTATTTTTTTTAGATACTTCCATAAATTTAAAAAAAAAAAATAAACTTAATTACTTTTTTTGGCCATTTAGAGCAAAGGAGATTGAAGCAAGCAGTCTAAATCAAGAATTATCAATTCTGTTGAATGAAAATGCCTTGATGAAAAAAACAATAGACACAATAACAACAGAAAACAGCAAAAAGGTAAAAATACACAATACATAATATATAAAAAAATATTTTAAGAAAATTTAAATTTAGATATTAGTAAGCATAGATTTCAGATTCTAGTATTCAAAATTTAATATAATTATAGTGAAAAAAAAAAGATAAAATTATAAAGGACAAACTATGAGCAATATATTTCCTCTTGTTTTTAACTAGTCACTTCAGTCTGGATACTGTATTCATGTAGAAATGTGGAAATGCAAGTAATAAACTAGGCCCGTAACTAATCAAGAATAACTATGGAGTCAGAAGTCCATGGGAGGCATAAGCCTTTGTTGGGGTTTATGGGTAGACCTCTGGTGGGGGTAGGGGACAAATCCTCCAGGAGTTGAAGTATTCTAGAGCATGAGAACAGTTAATTACATCATGATATTGATGTTATTTGATACACAAAGGGTGGTTTGGTTTGACTGAGGGGATCAATGAAAAAAGGGGTTTGGGTTTGACTGAAGCAGAGATACGCCCCAAGTTACAAATGAAATCATTATGATGACACTGTGGCAGCAGGCTAAAACATTATCATTCTATGACATATTGCTTTATGCAACAGTTTATGGAAGTAGGTGCGTTAACAACACAACTGCAGCAGGAAAAAGGCAAAAATGAGAAAACTAGGCATGAATTAGAGCACATGTTGTGCCTAGTTAGCAAGGATAGTGGATTGCTAGGCCATGACAGACCCAATGAATTAGGCGCCATCACAGCCAAGGTAGGCACCCACCATAAATATTACCATTTAGTGTTGCTTGTTGGAATGCATTAATTATTTTGCAGTTTATATAGTAACTACCTCGCAGAGAATACAAAGTAGGCGACATGCAATTAGAGCTCATTATAATAATAATTTCATCTGGTTTCTATTATTTATGAAAATTAGAATACAATTTGAGATATTCCATGAAAACTATTTTATAGGAGTACATAGTATGAGGATAAATAGGAATTTAACAAAGTCCTTTGTAAATTTACAAAATTTATATTTTATGGGATTTATCAGAATATACTTTAAAAGCCAACTCAGACAGCATCATATGACGCAGACCGATGCGATTCATCGTCGGGGACAGTCTTAAGCTGTCGTGAGAAATATTAAACATGTTTAATATTCTATGACGCGACTGCCCCCAACGCCAACCATTTCACGTCTGCATTTAACTGACACAGACCCGACGTGAAAACAAATCGCTTCGAGCTGCGTCGTACGACATGGTCTTGGTTGGCCTTTACGAAAACCAGTACTGTATTGCCAAAAGGATTAAGAGAAGTTGATGTTGATGGGTAACATTCATATAGGTTTCAATGCACTGTTAAGGTGGCATTAACCTGCAATGTAACTATATACCATACACTTGCGCATTAGGCAACCTGCTGTGTTTCAATCGTAATTTGCTATTTTAAGCCTCGTCTTATACGCGAGTATATACGGTAAAAGGCACTGAAAATGATTGAGTGCCGATTTTCAGCTTCGATTGAATGTTAGTTTACTGACATTTTGGTTTCTTAACTCTTTTCTTACTCTTTGCCTGTCTCCACATTTAATAGGCAATAACAGACGTTACTACTAGAGAGGAGTTGATGATAAAACTGACCGAGGCTAGAATTGAAAGTGCTGAGATTAAACACAAACTACAGACAGCTGAGAAGAACTTTCACCTGGAGAAGACAATGAATAAATCTCTGAGGGTGAGTAGGAAAATAATGTAATATTTTAATAAATTTTTAATTATTTTTGTTTATTATTCAATTGAATAAACCCTCACAGTGTCTATAATTATAAAGATTATATTATTATGCCCTATGCATTTTGGTTGGTTACTGTATAAATGGTAACCACAGGGCAAAAGTAATGTATCAAATTTATTAATTAAGCTTGAAAATGTATAAAGTATCTCCTTGGTAAATAATATATTTTGAAAAAAAAAATAAAAATAAAATAAACCAACCCTTTTTTTTGGTTTATCATTACCATGATTACCATCAGTTTGACCACCACCGCCATCATCATAATTAATATTTATCAGTTGTACATTATGGTCACACCGAAGGTCCAACAGTACCTTTAATATAGAATACATACTGTAGTAATAATACAAACGACATAAGTATTTGTTTCTATAGATAGCTATTAGATTCATTATGTTTGAACTCTTTAGGAGCAGCATGAAAGGTCAAGTAATGAGAAGAGCAACATGGAGAAAGCATTAGATACACTGCAAGTAGAGAAAATGAAATGGTTGGAAACAGAAACACAGCTGAACCAGCAAATTGATAAACTATGTAAAGAGCGAGAACAATATATGAAAGGTACTAATTCCAATCAACCAAACATCTAAAAATGTTCAAATTGAATATTTTGTATTGTATTATCATTACTGTACTACTACTACCAGTGACTACAAGCACCACTACCACTAATAATAATACAGTAATACAAAATAAATGATAACAATTATAGTACTAAATAATAATTATCTGAAAAAATAATTATAGTAGTAATAATATTGATAATATAATAAAATTAAATGTATTAATTATCACTATACTCATCATTTCATTTTCTTAATTTTACTAAACCTATTATTACTATATAAGTAACAACTGGTATGGAAGTATTATTATTATCCCATAATTTTTCTTTAAAATCAGAGCTACTCCAAACAAAGCAAAATGCAGATCAACAAAGAAATTTATTCCTTGAGGCTGATAAAAAACAGAAGGAAACTGCCAAGAAATATGAATGCCAGTTGACTGACACCAGTAAGAGATGGAATGAGGAAAAGAAAGACTTGGAAGAGCAAAAGGATCGACTAAAGGAAGAGAAACAATCAATGAAAGAAAAAGTAGCAGAAAAGGAAGGAAGGCTGTATGCATTAGAGGAAACAATTAAACAGCTTAATGAAGATAAAAGGTATGATGGGTCTTACCATGTATGTAGTTAAAATGCTATTTTTGATTGGTTCACAGTAGGCCTAATGCTGGTAAATCATTTGAATGGTTGCTTTAATAAGGTTTTAAATGCATGTTTTATTAATTTTCATAACAAACTTTAGTTGCGCATATATAATTGACCTTTGCTAAGCCCTGCCCCATGTGAATATTGTTGTTAAGGTACCAAAAAACAATAGTGTAAATATACGTAAACAACATTGTGAGCTTTCTGGGGCAACACATGTGTTTGTACTTGAATTTCATTAGTAGGAAGAGAGATTTTTTTTTATCAATTCTTCATCTTTAGAGCAAACCTAGAATTGAGGTCCAAATTGGCATCTACCAAGTCTAGATTGAGTGACATGGAAGCAACCATTGAAAAATTGACCCTGGAAAGAGATCGGTATGCTGATGAGACAACGCAGCTTCAACAGTCCTTGAAGAACACAGAGGAGAATAAGACAATGATGGAATCACTGGTAGAAGAGAAAGAAAAAGCATTGTCGGATCAACGTCTTAGCTACTCGGAGAGATTGACAACCATGACAAATCGTTTGCAGAAGGTAATGAATTGCTTATGTCACTGTGAAAATGTCTGCATTCTCATAGCTCATGTTTTCTTCTGTTGACGGCATATGAAGTTATTCAGTCAAGCTAACATAAGCATCTGCTTGTAAATTATATGTATGAAGCATGGATGTATGAGCATGGATTTATAAGAAAACTACAGTGTGCATGGATTTGATCCTTTGCAGAATCATTCAACTTTTTCATAGAATTATACTTTCAAACATGCTGACCTATTGCTTTTTAGCAAAAATTATTGCCTTCCAATACCTGGGTCTTGCTTCAGACTTTGTGAAACACAAGTTCACAATTGGACAACTTCCTCACCAAATATGCTGCACACATGGTCTTCTTACAAATAGCTTGGCGATTATAATTATATATTATGTCATAACACTTTGTGTTTGATGGGTATGGTAAAATAATAAGCTTTGGATGAGAGCTTATAAAATGTATCGTTGCTTACATTGTTATGTGTATACTAATACTTAATGCATATATTAGAATGAAAGTAATATCAGATTCACACGACAGAAATGTACTAAACAAGTTTTACCAAGGATATCCCTGTATGCTCAGTAGATTTTCTGTTGCATAAATCATGTATTAGTCTCCAAAATTTGATCATATATACTCCCCTATGTGAGCATCAAGAATGTCATTTTAAAAGTCTTTTAAAAAAAAAATTATATAATTTACATACTGGATTCACTGTTCTCAAACACTGAAATGCACCTCTTGCATGCAGACCCAGAATTCCCTAGCAACCGTCCGTGAAGGCCTGCAGCAGGCAAGGGATACTAACACTAGCTTAACGAAGGAGAGATCAGACTTACTGGCCAAATTGGACTCCCTGAGGGAAGCCTGGGAGGCTGATAAAATGAAGCTTGCTGTAACGGAAGAACGCTTTACTAACATGGAATCCAAGCAAATGAAAACTATGCTTACGTTGGTATGTATGAGGACTTGAAATGAACTCCTCATCAGAAGAATCAATTCTCAAATTCATTGCATTATATTATGTATTACTTATTTATTTATTTTCGTTATTCTGCATTGTAGCTGTCATATGCAAGCTTGTTTATCTTTAATAACATATTTTAATTTGTAATGTTATCATTTTAAAAGCTTTCTATATGAATACATGGACTATGTGCTCCTCATCATGCCTTAGAGGTTGGTAATCTGCAGGATATTTTTAGTCTTAAGTTGAGAGGGAAGTACAGTAGGGTGAGGGGGAAGAACGCTGTGGGGGACACAGACAAAATTCAATAAGAATGGGGATGGACAGTCACTGCCATTAGAATATTTTAACTCAAATATAATTTCCTATAGCTGAACTGTTACATTATGAAAGGAATATTAACAAATAACATTTTTTTTAAATCTCCAATTATCAAAACTTCCATCAATTAATCAAAATTTTATATTGTCATTTTTAAAGTGGTCCCCTGGATATCAGCTGGCCTACAGGTTGAGCAAGAAGGGTTACCCTCTTGAAGTAAAGTTTTAAAACAATTTTTTTTCAGAATGAAGTACAGGAGAGTAACAAGACACTGAATTCATCACTTCTGGACTTGGACAGCAAACTCAGCATGGAGAAGACAAAAGTAAAGATGTTACTAGAACACGAGTCAGAATTGGAAACTAGGATCAAAAGTTATGACATGAGGTTAAAGATACTGGATGAGCAGGTGAATTATTACAAGGTATGTAGGTGTTAATATAAACTGTCAATCAACTGGCTTGTCAATCAATCTCTCAGCTGAGGAACTTCTAACACATTTTAAATTGTTAATTCTAAAGTTGTATTTTGTTAATTTTTTTCATAAATTTTTTAGGGGTGTTTTGAGTTGAGGAATGAATTTAAAATGGTCAGTCTTTCCAAGTGTATATCTCACTCATTATGGACTACTAACAATACAGCTTTGCATTAATCAACATTTACAGATCCCAAAATACATTAATGAAAAAGTGAACTACATGAATTGAATTCCAACTGTGTTTTTTATCCTTTAAAATCTTGTTTTTTCCTTCTTTAAATCAGAAACGATTGAGCAAGGAAGAATCACGATTACAGCAGGCCCGGGGGGAAATTCTAAAAAACAACAATGAGGCAGCCCATGAAAAACAGAAAAAGATGTAAGAAACTGTAGATGAACACTTATGCATATATTCTTTTTTTCTATTTACAATTTTTAGAGATCTATTCTCACTCTCAAGTTTTATGTGGCAAATACATGTGATTTCCCCATTTATAGGTGTGATACATGACATTGTTATGCCCATATATGGTTTGTTTCACATCCAACAGCAAGCACACTCAATTACAGTGTAAAACAAAAAATGTCTTGAAGGTTTAGAAGATGGAGTTCCTAATGTGTAACAGGACAGGATATGCCATTCATTGTTAGAACCGCGCATGCTCATATCAAGGTTAATTGATGTAAAAACCATACGCACAACAAACGTTTTGGA